ATCAAAGTCAAATATGCTCATCTGACCATATAAAACGATGCTTAATGCAAAAAAGAACTTTTTAATTGTACTGTTTATGATTCTTTATTTTTCCTCTGTTTTTCCCCACTTTTGTGTTTTTTTTTTTTAATTTCTGTTCCACTTTGTCTTGTTTGTAAGTTTATCTGACTTGGAGAGGGGAAGGGGAAAAAGAAATGGTGGGACAAATGGTAAACCAATTCAGCAGTGATACTCACTATACACTATCTATGCTGGTAATGAACTGTACAACTTGGGGGGAAGGAGAGGTGGGAGGGAATATCCTAGGAGAAAATGAGGGAAGGGGTGACAATGTTCAAAAAGACAAATACTAAATATGTGACTTATGGAACGGTAACACCTCTGTGCGGCATTTTTACAATAAAAATCTTAAAATCAATCCTAATAGGCCTCTGAGAAACATACAGCAGAGGCAGCTACAAATAAACAGAAAGGTTAGGAGATCTGAAATCACTTAATACAGCCCTGGTTATAGTTTGGTCAGGATTTTTCTGTACTAGTCCATCAAGGACAGCTTCTCTCTGAGAGAACTGACACTTGTTAGTATCTATCAGTCCTATCTATTGACTTGGGTGTCGCATCATAGAGACACTCTACCTAGGTGTATTCATGAGGGCCTAGACTCTCAAGTAGTAATAACAAGACTTTTGCTGTCTCTAGTGACAATATAATCATCCTGTACTCTCCCCAGAACTTTCTGTTTGTTCCTTTATTGCAGTGATGAAGATCAAACACTCAGCATACTATGCAAGTGCTATCCCACGGAGCCACACCCTCCCCAGCTTCTACTCCCTGATTTTGACAGCTTGCCCTAACAGTTCTGAATACAACATTTCTGGATGCCTTCCTGTGTGAGGTAGGGAACTTCCTGTCAACAGTTTCTGTAATGTACTCTATTTGAAAATTAAATTGTAACTGCATGGTGATATAGGATGTGTTTCTGGATATTTTTTCTATCGTAAGTGTTATATATTAGCTTAATAGGCAATCTTACTTTAAATGACTTGAAATCTTATTAGTTGATACTTAGCTATTTAGATCCAATCTTCAGGATATATTACATTTAGATTGCTAATAGTACTTGATACTATAGCCAAAGAAACAATAAGTTAATATGCTGAAAATGAACTTTATTCTAGAAGAGCTAAGTTATACATTTTCAAAACTATCATGATAAATGTTTCCCTTTGGAATTACTATACACATGTTTGGCTTCTTCACAATTAAGATTTGAAAATCAAATTTCAATAAAAACCTTAAAAAATTGCCAGTATTTTTATTAGAGGTGTGTTTATGTGTATGTGAATGGGTGTACATATGTATGTGATTATTTGTTTTTTTTATTGTGAAAATACTGTACAGAGGGGTTACAATTACATGGGCAAGATAGTGAGTACATTTCTTATCAAGCATTGTTGCCTCCTCCTTTGTTTCGCCTTCCCATCCCATCCTCCCCCACCTTCTCACTCAACCTTCCTTCCCCCCCCCCCCAGCAAAGTTGTAAAGTTTTCGACATAACGACTTGTACGTCTCTTTGTTGCAATGGGTCCAACTGTATCCCTATTTAAACGATTTGTTTTTTCCCTTCCCCTCCACAAATTATAACAACATCAAATACAGTGAAAGCTGGGGTTATACCGTGGTACCGTGGGGAAGAGACATACAAAGCAACAAAGAAATAATCTTATAAATATATTAGAAACAATTGCATGAAAGAAAAAAAAATTTGAATACATATCTTAGGGTTCATTTCCCTAACATCAACTTATCTGACCTTTTCTGCTTGACTCAGACATATACTACTTATTGCAAATAAGGGAAACCATGGGACCTATGTTTCTTTGGGCTTGGCTTACTTCACTTAATATAATTTTTTCCAAGTCTTTCCATTTCCTAACAAATTGGGCAATGCCATTCTTTCTGATGGAGGCATAGAATTCCATTGTGTATATATACCACATTTTCTTGATCCATTCATCTACTGAGAGGCATCTGGGTTGGTTCCATATCTTAGCTATAGTAAATAAGGCTGCAATAATCATAGTTGTGCTGGTAGCTTTAGTGTAGTCTTGCTTTGATTATTTGTTTTTAAAAAAAGATTTTGGAATTTGCTTAATGATCTTTAGCTTGAGATTTCAAAAGGTATCATGAGTATAAGCAAACTGATAGGAACATAGATAAGAATGAATTAAGGATTATGCCAGCCTAAGGTACTGTTTATCACTTCTGAGGCAGACACAATTCAAATTGCCTTCATTAGCTGAGCAATATGCTGTGCAAAATGAGGGGGAGACTTATCAGGAGACTTTTTCATTTGCATTTTTCCTGTATAACCAAGCTGTTCTGTTTTCTAGCTGCTCAAGAGCTGTGAACAGGAAGGAAAGAAAATAGTTCAGGTAAGCCAGAGGCATTCCAGGACAAAATAAATGAAAAGAAAAAGTTTATCAATGAAGAATTGTGCTTTGTGTTATTTGTAATACAAAGAGACTAGTTTCCCAGTCTTCTTCCTGTGTTGTTAGTTTTTAAGATGTTCTAAGGCATGATTTCTCTTCACATCTACTAACACAAGCAAAGCTAGAGGCTGCTCTTTTGATAAATGATCAATAGTTCAGACTGACATCACCCTAGCTACACTGCTGTTACTGCTTAAGAGACTGAATTTCAATTAAGCAGTAAATCCTTATGGAATTACATTTCCAACAGTCACTTAACATCTGTTTAATCCGCTGGAATTCTGAAACACTATTATTTTGTAGAGTTCTTTCCTCCAGGCTCATTCATAAAGCAAACTATTATATTTGACTGGGAAAGACATAATTTCCATCAGAGGAAAAAAACCCACCCAAATTATCAATTAATTGCCTTCAGTTGCATGCCTATGTGCAAACTATGTTATAGCTTGCAGAATAAGTCACAAAGGTTACAAACAAGGTGCATTAATGAATACTCTCAATCACAAGTGTCTGGAGTTGGCTACATAGCTTTAGATCATATGTTACACTTGAGAAATTTTTTCCACACAGACCTTCCTTAGACAAGTTTTAAAATCATGCAAGACACACAAGCATTCATAGTACTGATCCTATGCAAATCTGTGTAAATATTCTCATTTTCTATATAAGAAAATCCTCCTACAGATTTTTTTTCTTAAAATGTTTGTTTACTTTCAAAAACGGTGGTTGATACTTCATAGGCCATTCATCTAAAGGAAAATACCATCTTCTTTATTGAGGACTTCAAAGTTTTAAGACAAAAGCATAAGCTCTATGACAGGCATACCCTTCATATAATGTTTTAATCATTTTAAATTTATGAGGCCACAAAGTCAAATGAACACAACTGGTTTGGTTCAACTGTAATGTTTGTAGATATTTCACTAGTAGATGTGTAGAGAGTAGACAGTAGGTTAAACATTCTTACGTATAAAGCACCACTTATAATGTCTACCACACACTGCATAATCTACACCTTATGAATAAAAATACAGATATTAAAGGCTTTTTGAACTAATAATCAGTCAGCCAGTATTTAAACATAAATTGTTTGACTACGAAGGTTTTGGCTTTTTATTCCACTGTACCAAAATCCACAGACATATCTGCTGTTTTCTTTAAACTTTTAAAATGAAGATCCTTCTTTAGTAATACAATTTATATCACTGTTAACAATTCAGTAAACACACCTTAATATCACACATTTTGTTTTATTTGGGAAAACATGCTCAGTTATTTTCTCTTTCAAAATTGGTGTTAAGCTTAAGCAAACTTATACCTCTATCCATCACATGATTGAATGTTAGGTATCCTAAAAATACAAAGCTATTATAATAATCCAGCTAACTACATCTGTTATGGACTAGTAAAATTTATTTTTACGGGTAGGCTTAACATATCAAAGAGTAATTTAAACAGTATCACCTCTTCCTTTTTTTTCTCCTAGTTTTTTTTCCTCTCTACTCCTTCCTGCACAAGTTGTATAATTCATTTTCAGCACAGCGTCTAGTGGGTATCACTGTTGAATAAGTTCCCATATGTCTCACTCTATTAAAAAAGAAATGTACCAATTTCCTGACCTATGTAACTGTTACTCCTCTGTATGTACCTTTACAATATAAAAAGTGAATAAATAAATAAGAGGAATTTAGTGTATATTAGCTGATAAGTTGTCACTAAAAGGATGCACTCTAGTAAGTAGTACAGTAGGATTGTATAATAATGGGAAAGAAAAATTCTAAAGTTCTGACCTTAAGAATTAGAAATCTAGTAACCCTTCTGTACATCCCCTTTACATTAGAAAAGTAAAAAAAAATAAAAAGAATTAGAAATATTAAGACAGGAAGATTCTGTAGTGCTTATTATTTTAGAAATCAAGATTGAAGCATACTTTTATGTAGGAAGAAGCATATTTCTTTATGTGATAAACCTATTATTTTAGTTATTAATTTTTCTGACTTCATATTATTTTAGAACATCAGAACAATTTAAAAGATTAAAAAACTAATAGATGTGTTAGATAAAAATAAAGATAAAGATAAAACAAAGATAATAGTTCCTATGAGGAAACAGATAAAAATAGCTGAGACAAAAGACAAGGAGGAGAAAAATACATAGACCACCAAGGTGAAAACAGAACAGAAAATATTAGGACATACAGAGTAGTAGCTGCACCTCAAATGTTAATTTCATTAATTTTAAACGTCAAGTGGAAATATTGGCACAAGATGTTGGAAAAAAATAGCCCCGAGTTTCTTGGTACATATCTCAAGATTTTAATATTGACTATATAATCTTTTAAGAAATTTTGTAATAATCAAAAAATACTTTAACATGTTTATAGACTGCATAAGTTTCTAATAGTCAATAAAAAGAACACACATAAAATGAAATTGTGTAATGACTTAGACCAATAAATAGTTGAGTGCTTTGAAAACAAATCACATTGGAAGAAAATTATGCACTTACCATCATGATTTGGATTTCCAAGTGTCCATGGCTCATCAGAGTCAAAATGAGTATCTCCTCCAATTCCAGGGCCAGGGAAATAGGCATGTGCCAAAAATCCTCCCTCCCCGTCAAAGGGAGAACTGTCTCCGTGAAAACCAGATGCAAAAATGATGGTTATATCCACATCACGTTTACCATTTTCTAACTCACTGTAGGGAACTTCTTCAAATGTCAGAGGAGTTACATTCTGCCACACATCAAAGGCACGGCGAATAGCTTTTCGAGTCTCAGGGTCTCCTACTTTTGGAGTTACGTTCTTTATACTGAAAGTTAGGAGAAAAAAAATCATTATCAATGTGATTCTGTTATGTGCAATATGACAGATTTTATCCATTTAGTTCAGCAAAATATCAGAGAAAACAGCTTGAATAGAAACGCATTCTATATCTACTATTCACTGCACTGGGGATTATTTAGGTATCAGCACCACAGTACTCATGTGCTAAAGCTACAGGGAGAAGATTTTCACTGAATAGTTAACAGAGCGAATGTAGTCCATTTGTCACTTTGCTTCCTGGACAATAAGAAGGGAGATATTCTAAATATCGTTTTGAGCTGAAATAAAAACAATTTCCTTATACTTGTAATTATTTTTAGGGGTACATCATTGTATCTGTGTAAATCAACTCCAAAGGTTCTCATGTTTTGTGCTTTAAGTCTCTAAACACCAATTCAATAGACACAAAGGTATTTATTTTTTAAGGTCCTTATCTTTTAAAGAACAAGTCTCATAATTACAGCTTCTGATATTCTACTATTTGTAATTATCTTTCTAATTAAAATGTATTATGTGTAAATAACTAATAAAAGGAACTAACAAAATTTAAGAGTAATGTGGCTATTCTTTCAGCTTGTTCTCATACAAATACAAACTGGTGAAACAATTATTATTTTTCCTGATTTGTCATTTATATATATTTCCCAGATAATTCTCTATGTGAATTAAAAGAATTAAAATACACATTTTTGTATTATAATATCATAAGTCCATACTGTATATAAGTAAAGTAATTGATAACTTCCATACCAATTACAAATATGCATCTCAAATACTTTCAACTCATAATTTTTCAAACATGAACTTACATGGAGGAATATTTTAATAGGAAATAAAATCTAATATCAAGTCAATATTCACTTTATATGATCATAAAGGAGAACTGGAAAGGTAAAGTTGTAGAGTAATGGAATGAGAGTTTAATTATGGGGTGTCTTCTATATGTCATTGCATATATAGAACACGATCAACTTTGTATGTGAAAGCAGTATTATTAGTCATGATTCAATTGCGCCTATGCCAAACTGGGTACAAATGTTAGGGAGAGTTATACTAAGCTATATTTACTGTTTCTTATTAATGCCCCCAAACAATTCACTTAGATGAGTGTTTATACCTGTCTTACAACAAAAGAAGCTACCATTTAGGAATTTAAAGAAAAGCTTTGATGTGACAAAAGTGAAAATATGTTAAGTAGTTTTATCCTAAGACTTTTAAGAATTCATTGTCCTGAATTCTATGCTAGTTTACATGTATAATGTTTCCCTTATTTCTTAATAAGTCATCTAGAATGTATATACAGTGGCTATGTGATCATAAATATTCTCCATTCTAGGAGTCTTTATCGCCTATTTTCTCCATGGGGACACAAGAAAAGAGTATCTTTTTCTCTACTTAATATCTTTTATACTACAAGAATTCCTAGCTAAAACTTCCAAAATATTTATAATCCATTCTACTTAAAGGCAGTGAAGTCTAAACCTACCAGATATGAAGTGGAGGTAAGGAGCACTCTACAAGAATTCCTAGCTAAAACTTCCAAAATATTTATAATCCATTCTACTTAAAGGCAGTGAAGTCTAAACCTACCAGATATGAAGTGGAAGTAAGGAGCACTCTGCAAGAATTGGGAAGTGGAAGATTTGGAGAAGAAAAGCCTGGGAAAATTTAAAGAGCAAGGGGCTGGTATAGTTTGGGCAGAGAAGAAGTGTCAGTCTTATGTTCTGTCTGAGAGAAAGAACAGAGTATCATCAACAGTGATGTAAAAACTGACTTATGCTTCTTAAATACCTTGAGCCATAATGAGAAAAACACATAGCAGTAGAGCAAAAGTCAAAACAAAAAGATCCATCAGGAACTACTGTTAAAAACCCAGGTAAAAAATATTGGTATTCTAAACCAGCCTAGTTTTAATGGAGATGAAGAAAAATGAATTTTATGACATGCTTAGATAAATCATTCTTTAAAATTATGAGAAATGTGAAGAGTTAGGAAGATATAATAGTTTTGAACTGAGACCAATGTTGGATAGATCATAGAAAACTTGCTTAGAAAGAAAATGAGGATTGGTTATTAGTAATACATACTAATATCCTACGTAAAAATGATTAGGAAAGGATTTTACTGTAACGAGGGAAGCAATTTTTAAGAATATAATAAAATGATTAGTAACAGTTAAATTATTAGCATATTTACATTCAGAGTATAATATAATGTTCTAGTAGGGAAAATCAATAGACTGATTTACTCTTATGTTGTGCATATATAGTTGATGGGTTTCATCACCTTCTACTGTGTGAGAAATGGTTCCAGAAAAGAAAGTACAGAAGCCCTCCAGGAAAACCTGTATTAAATATTTGGCTATTTCCTCATGATGCAAGAGGATTTAAGTGCAAAATTATTTGGATCTTATTTAAATCATGTTCATTTCACTTCATAGTCCGTAACTTATCCTCTGGTCACACAAGTTGAATTCTCTTTGAAGTCAACAGAATCCTCAAGTTCAGTGAGCTCTTTGGGTTCAGATAAAGTAATAAAACATCTGTCTGTGGAGAAGCTGATTATTTCTTAAAACTTCTGAGTTTCAGTGCTGTTCATGTTACTGAAATAAAATAACTTCAAGAATGTTTCCTCAGTTATCACTAGGGATGCATTTAAAAGCTGTGGTAACTAAGTGACATATATACTGAGAAAATTAACACTAATTAATATAAACATGGCATGGTAGCAATCACCTGTAATCTCAGACTAAGGCAGGAGGATGAAAAGTTTGAGACTAGTTTGGGCTGCATGGCAAGATGGAGTGCAGGCTTTAATCATACAGCAAGAGCCAATTTCCAAAAAAAATCAATCCCAAACAATTAATTAAGACATTCAAACAGAGCATTCCTACACTAATACTCATTAATATAATTTTAAAATTAAACCAACTAGCAATTTAGATTTATCTCATTAGCAACTTATCATTTTATACTATAATTTAGAGTTGTAAAACTAAATAATTTTCTTACTCCTGCTGTATAATATTAAGCCAAATGTGATAAAAATCTACTTAAAACAGTCACTTTATTCAATACATTTTTCTTATGCTGTGAAAAAGGTAAAACAAACCTTACTTTAAATTCATTAACTTACTTGGAAACTATCGTTCCAATCATTGCAGTAAATAATGTTCTTTTACATATTTAACATGTGAGTTTCTTGCTTTTAATGACCCAATGATGAACAAAATTGGAAGATGGCTAATTTAATTTTCCTGTAGTTTAAAATATTTGTTTTCTGAAAGCCTGTGAATATTTGAACATTACTGGTGATTCCTTCCCATCCAAAAGGCAAAGAAAATTTCTCCATTATGTTGAAAATCCTCACATTAAATTTGACTTTTCCTCAGCACCTTAGCCTTTTGGCTGCTTTTCAAGAAATGTATATTAATCAGCCAGAAAATAGCCAACTGTGATGACCATAAGAGGTCCACAAGGTAAGTTTTGGTTCACTAACCAAAGTGAAATACTATCACAATAACCTTTTTTTTTTCTTTTTCTTTTTCTTTTTTTGAGGGGGTCCGGTCGTGGGGCCTGAACTCTGGGCCTGGATGCGGTCCCTCAGCTCTTCAGCTCAAGGCTAGCGCTCTACCACTTGAGCCACAGCGCCACTTCTGGCTTTTTTCTTTTTGCTTATGTGGCGTTGAGGAATCAAACCCAGGGTCTCATGCATGCAAGGCAAGCGCTCTACCACCGAGCCACCTTCCCAGCCCCCTCTTTTTTTCTTTTTAAAACTTTGTACCTTGACTAGGTCACACTCACTAGACTGACTGGCCCCTAACTGTCAATCCTTCTGCTTCAGTCTTCTAAGTTCCAAGATTAAATACCTGGACACCCAACCTGGCACCATCATCTTGAATATCACCCTAAATCTTGTCTGCGGGTAATGGCACACTTTACCTCATAATTCAGCTGCTCTTTGCATAAATAACTACTTCATGAGTTTAAATGCTAGGTTTTGTATTTACCTTTATAAATATAATAAGAAAAATAAATAAAATATTATAAATATAATAAAAAACAAAAACTGTATATGTAATACTTCAATATATTTTAGGAAACTCTTTCAAATATTAATTTAAAAATGTAATATTCTTAGTCCTTGTGCCCACCTTTTAATATTCCCATTAAAATACCCTCAACAGTTTCAGATATTGCCCATGAAATTAAAAGAACTAGAGATGATAGGTTGCCTTCATGAAGCACAATGTTTCAAGCATGATACAGAGTTTATTGTGTTTGCTATATTAGTTAATATTCTTCAATTACTGTAATGTTTCCTTTGCACAATGAGGAACTGCAGCTTAGTAGATTGAAGTAACTGGATGTATGTAAGTAAGCTTTAGAGGCAGGATTTAAAAACAGGTCTTTCTAACTCTAAAATAGGACTGTTAGCCACATTTTATGTTTTCTATAACCTTAAAAACTACAATGGACTCGGCCACTGTCAGCATGGAAACTCAGCAGTCACTTCTAAATATAATGACTCGACTCTCATTCTTTCTTCTCTTCTTCTCTTTTTCTCATTAAAAGAAAAGGTATAGGCAATACCTAAAAGTATAGACATGAAGTAGGGTGCCCTGTCAAAATGTTGAGGTCAAATGTTCAAGTCAAATAAAGAGATTTTTCTGAAATGAAAAATGATTAAGAATGGCTAGAATGACCTTAGCTTTATAGTTCTATGGTTGAATTTGTATCTTGTCAATTAGGACAAACTGATGTTTTCATTGTCATCTCTGTGAATAAAGATCTATCACTGAATAATTTTGTGAATAAAATAGCCCATATTTTCATTACTGATCTAAAAGGACTACCCTGGTATAAATGAATTGTTTATATATTCATGGTTCTGTTTCTGTGTCTCTTCCTTTACTATTGGCCTATTAAACTATCTAATATATTATCTATACCTATGCTAATACTTTATATTTCCTTTTAAGATCTGGGAGTGGAGCTCAAAGTGTTAAGAGTGTTTTGCTTATAAGGACAAGACTTTCAGTTAAAACTGCATAGAGAAAAACAACAAACAAGCAAGTAAACAAACAAACATGGAAATGTAGTTTGGAAGTAGAGCATTTATCCAGCACAGCTAAGGACCTGGATTCAATCCCCAGGACCCAGTACTGAAAGAGTGCTGAGGGAAAGACAGCTAAAGCATACTGGCTTCCAATTTTGGGGGGGAAAAGGCTGGAGGTCATCACTCCCCATCTCCTTAATCTGAAACTGAACATCTCTCTTAAAAAAAAAATCTGTCACCAAGGCTAGTGTGTGGGAGGATCTCATACATTTTTGAGTTTTACTTCTGGTGGCTACTTCAGTTTCTTACACTGAACAACTTATAAAAAGTCTTGGATGCATTCAGCAAAGGGAGGAGAAAAGTTTCTGTAAATCAAGCCTTAATATCCAGGCCCCCTGTAAAAACAAGAAATTTAATCACAAGGCTAAGGTGATTTTCTTTCTACAGAATCTTACATCATGCCAACTTAGTGTGAGTAAATAACAGTAAATTACAAACAAGGTAGCTAAAGACATAAAAAAACGTTCCTTTCTTCCTGCCTTTTCTCCTTCCTTCCTTCCTTCCTTCCTTCCCTCTTTCTTTCCTTCCTTCCTTCCTGCCTGCTTGCCTGCCTACCTTCCTTTCTTCCTTCCTTCCTTCCTTCCTTTCTTCCTTCCCTTCCCTCTCTCTCTCTCTTTCTTCCCTCTCTCTCTTTTTCTTTCCTTACTTCTTTCTTCCTGACAATCCTCAGGCCTTGAGACACACCTCTTGTTCCAGAAGTTTTCATAGGTACTTAGAAGTGGGGAGAAGAGACTAGACTCATTTCTAATAGCCAAAACCTGGGAAACAATCATGATGACCTTAATCAGTGAAAGAATGCACAAACCTGTGTTGATTATTATTCAGTAATAAAAATAAATGAACTACCAAGTTGTATAATTTGTGATGAAGTCTTAAATGTAATTTGTTAAGGAAAAGAAGCTAGTTTAAAAAGACTTTGGATAATTCTTGCAGATTTTTTTTTAAATCAATGATTTGTAGGGGTTTTGAGGAAGGTGAGAGGGATAAGTAGATCACATATGGGAGTCTCAAGGAGTGAAACTAATGTACATGAAATTTTAATGGTAGGTAATGACATTGTACAATTGTCAAACCCAGGGAATTGCACAATACAAACAGTGGACAGTTCAATGTACAATTTTTTGAATCATGCATCATATTTGAATCATCATTTGATACAAGTATACCATCCTAAAGAAGATTTGAATAACAAGAGAGACTATGTGTGCTGTGTGACTTCTGCAGCCTATATTTGTCCTGAAAAGAAAATTTCTTATTAATTTAAGATGATATATGCTTTTATTATTTCTAAATTATTAAGAGTTTCTTTTAAACAAATTATGAGTAAAGATAGATTCTTTTCAAACCCTATACATTGACTTTCTCTCTTCTTAACTACACCATGTTGTTAATACAGGTACAGGTGTCAACATCATTTGCTGTCTTTCTTACTTAAAGATTTTACCGAACATTTCCCACTGTTTGAATATGAAACAAATTATGACAGTTTTTAATTTTGTGGATGCTTTTCTATTGATTATGAAGTGTCCTTGCTTTATTTCCTAGTTATAACAGTTACTACTTGTCTACATGTTTTAAGGACACCATATATTAAAGCTCTTTAATGCTGTACATTTCTCTCAAGATAGAAATTCAATATCTTTACAGTTGACCTTTATGTTCACTCTTCCTGTTTCCTAATGTTTTACTTTTATACAAAAATGCATTTTAAGTTATATGCCTAGGCTTAACCCTAGTCAAGAGTAGAGTTAAGGCTTTTTATAGTCATTTTGCCAGAAAAAAATTTAAAAACAAATCTTTCTATTCTTCATTAAAGGTTAGAAATCCTTCTCTCTAATTTTCCCCTCTCTAGGAAATATTTGATAAATGAATTTACTTACAGAAAATTCATTGGAATGAACTGGCATGAAGAGATATGAATTAATATTGCCATTCCTGGATATATATATATATATATACATACATATATATATATATAAATTTATTGGTAGAGCAAGTTTTACAAGTGCCAATTTTAGAGATTGTCAGATCAAAGTTATAAAGTTAAAATTCCACTGAAAAAATGTAAATGATGGTTGAATACCAACTTCACAGGATTGGCCTAAAAATGCTTTGCTTAAATTTTTCTTATCTGCACTAGACCTGGACCTGATTTCCATAAAACAAAAATCCAGTGTAACGCTTTCTGGAAAGACATGAATACAGACTGACACAAGAAAAAAATTATTCCTCAAGTAACCAAATCTCAGTGGCAAATTCAAATTATGTAGATAGGAACCCAACATATATTGAGTTTTTTCCTGATGAAACAAATGAAAGAGAGAAGAAAAAATAGAGGAATAAAAAAGATGGAAAAGAAAATAATGAGAGGGGAAAAAAGCCCTTTGTGAGCTTCTCATTTTATCTTTAATCAGTTTGTAAAGTCTTGCTGATAAAGAATATGAATTACAAAATTCTCTTCATGTATTTTATGGATTACCTACACTTTTTTCCAATGTAGTGTCTGTCCCTGCCCACTGGCTTAACAAGGTCCTGATTTGGCGATAAGGTTATTTTTCAAGGAGACTTTAATTTTTCAGAATGTTTGGATGACATTTGCATTTCTCTTGCGTTTTGTTTATACATTTCAATCACATTTTCCATTTTTTGTAGCTTTTCTATATGACTACAAATTGCAGAGGACAAACAGGGTCCTGTATTTTATGCCCAGGGCCTGCCACTATTGGACTGGTATTCCATAAGCAGCAGTTCAGTTGAAAATAAACATAAGCATTTATATGATCAGCAGTTGTCACTGTAGTTTGGAAAGAATTTTGCTTCACTGAAATAATACAACAAAGACTATATATTTCAATGGTTTCTAAAAAGATAAGAAGCAAAATGATAAAAGTGAGATTATGAGTAAATTATTGATTCTCAAGGTACTTCATTTAAAAGACAATTTTTATGTACTTAATTATTTGATTCTCCTTTTTATATTATAAACACTTATCTCAGAAGACACTAATTCAGATATGCATCACAAAATCCTTCAGAGTGCTGGAATCCATTCAAAAGGAGAAACACTAGTATACAAAGGAGACGTTTCAACTAATGTGCCCATGTGGATAATTTATTCTCTTTCCACTGAGTTTTAACATTATTACACCCAATGCTAACATGTAGTCCAAGTGCATAAAATATATAAACTGTGTCAAAACAAATTGCAATGGAAAAGCAATTAATTGTTCTCTTTCTGTACCTGTATGTGATGTGTTTGTGTTGCCACTTCTGTCCTGTTAATGCATATCGTTTTCGACGAATATTAAATTTGGAACTACCTCTTGTCTGATCAGGTACACCACATCGAGGCTTTTTCATCCAGCTGAAAAAAAGCAGTAATATCTGTTATTTATTGAAATCTCTAATCATTTTTCTTGTCGGTCATAAGGCCTGAACTCTGGGCCTGGGTGCTGTCCCTCAGCTCTTCAGCTCAAAGCTAGTGCTCTACCTCTTGAGCCACAGTGCCACTTCTGGCTTTTTCTGTTATATGGTGCTGAGGAATCAAACCCAGGGCCTCATGCATGCAAGGCAAGCACTCTACCACTGAGCCACCTTCCCAGCACCCCTAATCATTAATTTTAAAAGGAAATCAATGAATAGTTTAATATGAGACAATATTATTGAAGGCAGCAAACCATAAAGTCCAGGGATAAAAGTAATTTTCTTGCAATTTGAATCTAAATAGAATTTTGGGAAGGCATATACAAGAATCAGTGGTTTAACACTAGTATTCCTTAGATATTTTTCCTCCTAATCTTTTTTAAAATTTTTTTTGGCTAATTGCAGACTGAGATATAGCTTCCAAAAGGAATCTGCTGTTAGAAGGTCTGTAACTATGTGAGAGTCATTAAAGTTTCATTCAATTTAGCATTCAACAATTTTTAAAATCTAGTTTCAGGATTCAACTTCTAACTTAAGTAGCTGTGAGATTTTTGTACATATAAATTCATGTCCCCAAATTTTCTTCTTACTTTTGATCATTATTCCAATCTTCAGGAAGTAGTCTTTTGCTGTGAATCTTTACTAATAATAAAGCTAAGTTAAAAATAAGGTTTCTGAAATGAAGCTCTGTAGCTGAAGAATAGAGTGCAACATTTGTATTTGGAAGTGAAATGATGCTTTCAATTCACTGAGTTTCATGTTTATTCACATATAATAGTCTAACATCATTTCTAGAGATTGTCATTTGATCATTGTTATGTTTTCTATCTATCCTATTGTGTTTTCCAAGGGGAAATATCTTTGGGTTTTCCTTTTGAGTCCTGTGATGCTACATGACCCAGAGTGTGTGAATGAAAGTCAGTTTTTGCTTTATTATGTCAGGCACTTGATAATTTCCTTATTGTACAAAATGGTGAGACAAAGGACAAGGGGGAACCAATGCAACAATGATACTCACAAAAAATATGTTGGAAATGATCTGTACAACTGGTGTGGGGGAGGTTGGGAGGGCAGGAAAGTGGGAGAAAATGAGGGAGGGGGTAACCAGATTCACAATAAATGTACTGACTACCTTACATAACCCCTCTGTATATCACCTTGACAATACAATTTAAAAATAAATTTTAAAAATAGAATTGACTAAGGAGATGACTATCTGAAACTGCCCGTTAGGTGAAAAATGAATTAGTTTATATATTACATGGATAAATCAGCCACTCTTGGATTTTCAAAATTACAATGGCATTTTTAGTGCATATTTTAAGTCAAATTTATTGAACAAATAAACTTTAATGGATCTCTGACAAAGTTGATTTTATATAGAGAAAATACATCATCATATTTTCAAAGAAATCTAACATACTTTTCCTTCTACCTCACTGCCCGATGCCTGGAGGTAAAGGTTGCTTTCTATGCTTCAGTTTCCTCATCTGCGAAGTGAGATGATAATGTTGCCTCCTTTACTAAGGTACTTTAAAGATTAATGTACTTAAATTGTGTGAATCAGTTGGACTACAGTCTAATAGATAGCCACTGCTATTACCATCATAATAATTGTAAATTATCAGGTAGTAGTCATACCAGTATCAATAGTAAAAGCAATAGAAATAATGGCTGCATACAAAATTTACTTGTTTCTGTTCACCTTGACCTGTTTGCTAAAATGCAACATTTTACATTATTCAAAACAGAGATATTGCTCATGCTTTGATAATTGAGGTAAGGACAAATATCTGTTTTTTAATGTAAATAAAGTAGCAACAATCTCTGAACAGCTTTATAGCATATATACAGGTGTTGACATACACTGACCATGCTTGAGAAATACAGGCTGCCCAATGCAGAACTCCCAGTGGAATGAATATAAGAGTTGTAGTCCAAGTATCTGTTGGTGCTGCAGTGGGCTATACGAACAGTCTTGTAGCAGAATAGAATGGAAATGCCACCCCTGGCTGGTGGAATTGCGCCATGCAGTAGCTTGGCATATCTTTACCAAGAGAAAAATATGAGTCCCCAAACATACTTTATGCTTTTCCAATTATCACTGTGAGAACAATATTCATTTCACAGAGATGCTTTCATCTATCAAACTTTACAAATTTTAATTGAAAGTAAAAGTAATATCTACGGCTTAGGGCTGTCCCTGAGGTCATTCTCGGAATGTTTAAATATGTTTGTTTTTATTACTTTAAACAGCTTTAGGTTTTGTTTGTGCTCAAAGAAAGTAAGCCTACTAGTCACAAGAAGATTTTAAAGTAACATTTACTTAGAGCTCAAAATGTTGGCTGACAGCTTGCTCTGGACCAGAGTATCTTTACCAATTCATGAACTGCCTGCATGTATGCAGTGACTCACAAGGCAGAGGGGCAAATTTAAAGCACTTCAATATAAGTACAGAGAAAAATGCATCAAGCCATTAAGATCTTAAAGGAGAAGAAAGTCCAGTTAGTGTCTGCTCTTGTTAATGCTTTCATCTTTTAGAATGGGAATATAAGGTTTCTCTTATTATCACTTCTTCCAAAACAACTGAGGATAGACCCACCCTGTAATGCTATAATATTTCAGTTCCCTAGAATATTCAGTACTTTTAAAAGAGACCATTAGTTACTGAAAACCACATCTTTTCTACCTAAATTGAAAGGGAAGTCTAAGTATTAACTTGAATATTTAAATAAAATAATAAAAACCACACAGAACATTGTTAAGTCCAAATTGTTCTGGCTCTTAGTATATCTATATACAAATTTCAACTGGCAATGTAGAGTTCAAATATTACTGCAGTTCTACAATAATTTTGTGGAAAAGGTACTTGCTTGTATTAAAAGAATTTTAATCAAATTAAATTTCTAGGCATAGTTTAAATAAAATATGTATATTCATATTACTCAATGCATTAGATTAAACACACACATATATTCCCATATATATATATATATATATATATATATAAAATATGCATTTTGAAAGAAAGATCAAATGCTTTAAGAAATAATCTCTCTCTCTCTCTTTGGGCTGGGAAGGTGGCTCAGTGGTAGAGCGCTTGCCCTGCATGCCTGAGGCCCTGGGTTCGCTTCCTCAGCACCACATAAGCAAAAAGAAAAAAGCCGGAAGTGGTGCTGTGGCTCAAGTGGTAGAGCGCTAGCCTTGAGCTGAAGAGCTGAGGGGCAGTGCCCAGGCCCAGAGTTCAGGCCCCACGACTGGACTAAAAAAAAAAAAAAAAGAAATAATCTCTCATTAGTCATTCTTCAATACATAAAACTGTATACACAAAATAACAATAAACCAAAGTTTTAAAAACTTTGAGCAGAGTCTAAGACTTGTCAATATTTTATTGCATGTAAAAAATGGGTAAGATGGTATTTTAATGCAAAGGTATGAGTTGACCTCTGTACCTATAGACCTTATTTTATGTAGCAAGTTGGAGATTTAAAAGTTCATATACAATTCATATAAAATATATCAGGCTTATTTTCTTATTGTTTTGAATTTTTCATGCTAAAGTATCTTTAAATATTTTATTATCTTTTTATTAAGTGGTTGTACAAATGGTCTGTCATTTAACATGTCAATTTATAAGTATAATGTATCTTGATGAATATTACTCACTTCATATTCTCTTCTAAGCCACCCAACCTGACTCATTCCCTCATTTTCTTAGTTTCAAAAAATATGCACTGAATATTATGACTGCATTCTTGACTTGCTTAAAATATCTATTTTATGCATACTATATACAACAATATTCATTAAGCAACTTAAGTGAGCTTGCTCACAAAAAGTTGCTAGCCAACCTAATAATTTAAAAGAACAAAGACAATATCAGGTAATTAATTTTTGTGGGGAATAAGAATTTATTACTATTTCTCTTACACTAGTTCTAATTAATATAAAAGCCATACAGTAGGTCAAATAATATCTGAATGTGTTACTTGAAACTGGTTAAATTCATCGACATAATGTAGAGCTTACCACAATTGTAATCATTACTTTTAATTACCCAAGAATTATAGATTAAACACACCATGTTTGCCTGCCAAAGGAGGATACAATTATTCAATATAAACACACGCGGTTTTGAAAAGATTAAGATATGTTAATAGTTGATAGTATCTGAAAATGGATAAGATGCTATTTTAATACAAAGGCATGAGTTTAATCCTACACTTATAGACCTTATTTTATGTAGCAAGACTAAAAATTCATACCTTATTATTTAATTATGTAAAATAATAATGTCATCTCAGCATGAATTGCTATTATATATTCGCCTGTGATTGTATAAACACTATTTGAACAGTATGATTGTGGGGATTATGCTTCTAAAACCAGTATACACTGTTTGATCCAAGTAACCTGGGAAGTCACACCTCAGAAGCAGAAATATTCTAATGGAAAAATAGGCAGCCAGTAAATGAAGCCACAGGGCTTCTCCAGGGAGTGACAGGAATAATAAAGTCTATGCAGACAGAAGGAGCAGAGGAGGTGTGGCTGGGACAAAGAAACAGTGAGAGGGGGTCAGCAAGTCTTTTGAAGCTTCACCTAGAAATGACTGCCAGATAAACACACCATAAATTAAAAATAAGATTCAAACTGAATTGGATGATGTTTGTTAAAACACACACAAAAACAAAGAAGCAAAAAAGCAAGCAACAAACCTAATTTGGTTTTACATTAATGGCTGCCTGGATGGATAATCTGTTCCTGTAATTCTGTTTCAACGATCTGCTATTTTACCGCCTATTCACTGTTACTACTGCCCTTTATGTGTGGCTACTAAGCCATGCTAGGCTTGAAGGACCCATGTTCTTCTCTGCACTTCTGTAATTTTACATCCTCCTGACAACCACAAATTGTTCACATTCATCACCACGTGATAGACCGAATAAATCCTGCACATATTTTGTGTTATCCTCTTTTATTATCTCACTTTAGACAATAAAACCTATCCATCATGAATCCTTCCAATAACCAATTTCTCTAAAGTGGAGAAACAGATACTACCTTTTGTCCAACTCTGATAAATTCAATATTTAGAGCTAAATTTTTAAATATTCTGGCATTAGTAAAGTTAGGCATTCAAGCACTTTCATTTGTTTCCAAAATTTCAATTTATTTGCAATTCAAAAAGAAATTATGTTCTATTCTCTAAGAAAGTGGGATGAGTCATAGGGATGCATATGTGTAAGCCCAGCACTCTGGAGGCTGGGATTACCTAGCAGGACTCTGTCTCAAAAGAGAAAGGAAATACAAACAAAAATAAAGTGAATCAAAAGGTAACAGTTCTCTATGAGCAAACTGTCCAGTGTGTTTTATACAATGACAATGTTGGGGTTAACTGTGCAATTTAAACAGACTATAATCCTATAGCTGGTATCAAAACACAGAACTAGCTGAAGGTTTATGTTTTACTAACTTGAAACTTTGATTTTGGAGAAGTTGTAATCATGGCTTAAAAGTAAAAGTTTGGTATTATTTTATAAAGAGAGAATTGCGATAATCAGAGTTCAGCTGGGCAGATATTTCAAAATTTGAATCTCAATACTTACAAAGCATATAACTGTTGAAGAATTTGCTATATCAATTATTCATTTTATTTTCTAAAATATAAATGAAAATGTTTACACTTCTATAAAAAAGTGCTAGAGGAGGTTGTGTTTTTTTTTCTCAAATGGGTTTGAAGTTTTTTCATCTTAAAGCTTTAACTGTCTGTGTTCCTCTCCTGATGATATAAAATGATATAGAATCACAATACTATAAATAACAGAAGACAAAATGTAATTTCAGAATTGTATGTTAAGTTAGTTTGACATGTCATTATGTCTGAGCCCCCATACTTCAGATATTAAAGGGTAAATAATGTTATTTCTTGACCAGATATGGTGGCTCATGGCTATATTCCTAGCTACTTGGGAGAGAGCTCAAGAGGTTCCTGGATTTAATGAGGCCAGGCAGTCATCCAGACCCCATCTCAAACAATAAAGCTGAGTGTTGCATATGACAAGCCATCCTAGTCATAAAGAATAAAGAGCAAGATTTGATCCGGTGGCCCCATGGAAAAACACAAGACTCGAAATGAAAATATGAAGTAACTGAAGCAAAAAGATTGGAAATTCAGCTCAACTAATGCAATAAGTTTCAGGTCTTGATTTCAAATTGCAATAGCACCCAAAATACAAAAAAAAACAAAAATGAAATATTATTTGTTGAGATCTATAATGAAGCAAGTTCCACATGGTGGACTTAGTTTATGCCACCATTCTGGAATTTACTTAGCCTTTGACATTCAGTTTCTTTATCTGAGCAAGTAATGAGATAAATCGATTGTGTCTTTCTGTTCAGAAGCCCATGTCTGGTCATCAAACTAAAAAACAGATTTATTTACATATGCTTGTTTATTACATATTTATTTTAGATCTCTAAAAACACATGACTTTTCCTCTACTGAAAAAATATTTAACCATTCTTCCTTTCTCGCCCAGAAGCAACAACATAACCTCATGATGCTAGGTGACATAGAGCCCAGAAGCAACAACATAACCTCATGATGCTAGGTGACATAGAGCCCAGAAGCAACAACATAACTTCATGATGCTAGGGGACGTATAGTGAGCCAGTGAGTAAACACTCTGTGACTATGTAGTTACCCATAGACGGTATTCTACTCACAGCAAGGTAACAAGGCCCTAGCTCTTACCACTATACATGCGTCTTTCACAGACAAAGTGATCACTGACACGTTACTAGTAGATGAATCAAGGAATTAAATTTTATTAGAGAGTAAGAAACTCCTTTGTGTGTAAGAAACTGAAAGTAATGATATTTCACTGAAAAGTCAATTTAATTTATCTCCTCTGGGGACTCTCACCAGTGTGGAAGTCGTAACCTGTTAAAAACTTGGTCTCTGGCATCAACCATCTTTCCCACCCAAAATAAAAAACCTGATTTGAACTGCTTCCAAATTTCCAGTTCTATATATTTCCATTATAGTACTAACCTAACAACACTTAACATAACACACTATTACCAGTTATAAAGACGGGCTCTACCCTTCCCTGGCACTTTCTCATAAAGTGGCTTCAACCAGACACCAACTGTGGCTCATAATCATATCTTCCATCTTTTGCTAAAAGTAGGCGAGTAACCTTAGATTGAACTTTTAATGTACAAAATCTTTTCTTAATTGTGAAAATATAATACAGAGGGGTTACAATTACACAAGCAAGGTTGTAAGTACATTTCTTATTAAACGTTGTTGCCTCCTCTTTTGTTTCCCCTTCCCATCCCTGCTCCCGCTTCCCCTGGCCAAAGTTGTAAAGTTGTAAAGTTCATTTTTCAACATCTCATTGTTGCAATGGGTCCACCTGTATCCCTATTTAAACAATTTGTTTTTTTCCTTCCTCTCCCCAAATTATACCAACATTAAATACAGTGAAAACAGAGGTTATGTACAAAATCTTTGAGGACGGAAGTTTTCAGATGGACAAATGCCAAAGAAAGTTCATGAGACAAATTATTCTATTAGGAGCTGCTGAAGTTTGTGTAATACTTTAAAGTCTATTAGTTTGGATTAAAAGGACAAAATAGGAGTTCAGGTGTCATTACTTACTCAATTGTGTTTCTATCCACTTTTCCTGTCATGTTAATGCCATAGAACTGCTGCATGGCAGAGAGGGCAGACTGCATGGTCTCTGCAGAGCGCAGTACCGACATCCGGGGCTCAGTCGGTGGAAGATAGCCGTATTTTTGTAACCAGACCTGCAATAACAAGTTGAGTCACTTTAAATCAGCCTCACGGTATAACAATAACTTCCTAGCAATTAATTTGTGTCTACTACAGATTAGCGAACTTCATTTCATTAACATGAACATTATTCATATATCTATTTCTAATATAAATTACATAGTTCAGACTGTGTTAGTACTATTCTAGTAGTTGTTTTGGGCCTTTCTAATATATCAATATATTTTACTTTGGGAAAAGGTTACTGTTCCCTAGAAGCTTATTGTATATCAAGGCTATTGAACATAAAGTAGTGTAGTAAATATCGCACAAAACACAAAGTTTTCGCTGCTTTTTAGGAACTCAACCTCTCACAGTGAAGAATGTTCTGTGTTAATAATATGACTCTATCAAGGCATCTTCACTAGAAGAGTCAGTTAACATACACATCTGAAAGACTGAGTAACTGGACAGTTACTACAACTTGATGAGTGACTTTCTAAGATTAAATCCCTGTTATTATGTCATGTCATTTTCAGTTTAAGTTTATAACAAGTCTATTTGGTTGTAGCAAGGAATTTCCTAGAAAAGGCAGCTTTTTCATATAAAAGATAGTCATTATTTACTTCATATGATTTATAAGGTCAAATTTATATGATGTCATTGCAAAGGTGAAATCTGACTGTCTTATGAAATATGCTTAATTCTCTTTTTAACTCTCTTTTGAACTCTCCTTGGTGAAGAGAATCTAATAGGATAGTGAGAGAAAAAAGTACAGTGAGAGAAAGTTAGAATTGAGTTCATATCCTATTCCTGATTAGAGAAATAAGTCAGAGTCATTTGAGGAGATAGCTTAAAAGCATTTGAACAAAAATACAATCTACCAGGAAGCAGATGCTTTCCAGTTTTACAAGTTGGTGCATTCATTTAAAATCCTATGTATAGTCTATGGTCCAACCAGCTGTTTTTACTTTAATCATCCCAAGGGCTCTGAGGTTTCTTGAAGTGCAGTGAGCTACAATTGATATGGGCCACATAGCTGCTGTAGTACTACTCAGTGGAAGGCATTCATCACTGTGTGTTTTTCTATCTCTTTCTCCGTATCACATGAATGAGAATCCTTCAGAAGTTCAGGAAACTGAAATGTTTCCTTTATAAAGTTACTAACAAAGCACATTAGGCTTAATTCCCTAGTGACTATAATAAGAAAACATCAAACTTCCTCAAAAGAGATTCATACTCATTACATCAGTCTTAAAATATGAAACATACATGTATGAACAGTCTATGATACTTTCAAATGTTGCTTGCCTAAGAATGTAATATAATGAGAACTTCTTGAAAACAAATTATAACATTCATTCTAAAACTATTTATGAGATGAGCAATATATCAGTATCATGACGGTTCACTGGGGAAACTCAATCTAGTAAATGTATCTACCATATAGCCAAAGCATGTCAAGACAATCTGTTCATCTGATCTGTAATGAATAGGCTGCCAGGGATAATATATTTAGTTACCTAGATAACAGTGGTGCAATCTGAAATAGATTCCATTTTTACTCCATTCAGGAGGCAGGCTGGAATATTACTTGGTAAAAAATAACTACTGTTATTCCATTTCTCAAAAATTAGATAATTTTAATAATATAGATGTGTCAATATGCTTAAAATAAATAATTTTTCCATAACACTGTGTTCATTTCTCTCTTGTTACAGTTGATTTGTTGCTAGGTTACACGTGGATGCTAAGCTACTGGCAATTACATTTATGAGAACAGCAAGAAGAGAAAATCATTAATAAAACCCTATCATTTATATACAAATGGAAGGACTAAAAAATACATAAACATTAAGTATATAATGAAAAAATAGCATGTTCTGCAAATGCATATTTGATTTATGCCTTAGCATTTCAAACAAATGATTTCAAATATTCAAATAAGAGGAAAAAATGAATTGTGACTTCTTCAAGTCATTTTTTATATTATGTTAATCAGGAAATGCTGTTTTGTTCTGAATGACTGACAAGGTGGTAATTCGTTTTAATTGGAAAACAACAGGAAGCCTATGAGATCTTTCATTCTATGGTGAAAATTTGTTTTCTAGAGAATGGATAAACATTTTGATTTGTTAGCCAAGAAGCAAACTTTTTTAAATGAAATTAAAACATGGTATCTAATTGGAAAAGAAAATAAATCCACAAAGTAATATTTCACATGTCACCTTACTTGAAATCTTCTGAAGTCCAAGGTTAATGTGCTATGCAGTCTTTCTATAATATTTACTATTCATAAAATGCATTTAGATGACCATACATGGAGAGGAGGACGTATGTACACATTTCAAATATATATGCATGTGCATGCTTTCCCACAGACATCATGTTGTCTTACACCATATCTGTTTTTAATATTTTTTAGATTGGGAATAGTGATTTTGCCTCTTGAAATTATTTGAGCCTTGATACTTTTCCAGTGATCTCAAACACACATTTTATTGATAGTTAAGGAGCAAGTTCTAGTATGTACTTTTGGAGAAATAAAACATTTTTGTATGCCAGTATAGTTCACCTTAGATAGTATTAGGCTACCAAAATAATCTCGTGCTCAGTGAGTTTTATTATTTCATGCCAATTAATTGTCTTCAGCTATCAAAATTGCTTCTGTTTAAGTTAAAATTGTCCTTGGAAAGAAATAACCATACACTATTTAAAATCGCATTTTCTTAAAAACAAAGAAATTTAAACCATCTGGCAAGTTCTGTTTTGTTCTTGTTCTATTGTTTTGCTTATTGTGTTTGTTGGAATGATAAGTCCATATAAGAGTGCTAAAAATTATCAAGAGATCAATGTTTCTTCAAAGAAATATTTGATTTGTGTACTATCTGAGACTTACAGCATCACATTACCATGCAGATGAACAACCACAGAACCTCTAAAGGAACTGCAAAATCTGATCTTGAATTGCACTCCTCGTGCTACTAACTTACTCAAGTGTCTTGCTATTTTTGGATAGAACTAATTTTCTACACTTGGCGATAACTCCAGTGGAGGGACAACCAGAATACTGCCACTCTCTGTGGAGCAAGAAAGTATATCAAGAAATAAAAGGTAAAGACTTGAATATTAAGTGATATGCTGATTTTTAGACTGTAATATAATCAAGAAGCAGCAGGCACACAACCTGCCAGCAAATTCACTAGAGAAATGTTCTTGTCAGTGATATTTCAGATTCACATATTATGAAGAACTATATTAATGAACGCAGTTGTTGAAGGTTAAGCAGAATGTTGACAGTTATCAATGAAAGATGTTAACAGTTCATATAATGAGCAGCAAATTCAAGCAGTGACTAAGTCATTCTTGTTTATTTCACTAGACTAGTATGATAACTAGAAAAATAAATGCTTTTCTCTAGTATTCAAAAATGGAATACTTTGGGGAGGAAATCAAAGGCAGAAGGTTAAGGACAAGAAGGAGAAAAAGGTAGAGAAAGAAGGAAAGGGTGACTCTGTCCAAGAATCACTGTACTACCCATAACTTATGGACTTGTAACACCTTTGTACAACTACTTAATAAAAAGAATAACAGCAAATAAATAAATAATATAAACAGCAAAATAAATAAATATAATTCATTGACTCATTCATGTAAATTTAGACACTATAATTGCTTTACTCAAGTGAATCACAAATAGAAGAACAATTATAAAACTACTTCTTACAGGATATTATATAAGCAACAACATTTTATAATAACTACTTGAATGTTTACAAGGAGCTAAGATGTACTTCAAAATAACATAAAATTAAGGGACTGAAATACTGAATTTATTATTATTAGAAGGGTTCTCTTTTATATATTTATATATTGCAAAAATCACTGGAAGAATATCTAAAGAGGAATGGTTTTAGAATTTTGTTTAACTTGGACAATCATTTTTCTAGTCTTCAATGCCTATAGGAAACTGAGGCACAGATTTGTGGCTATGCTCAATGTAGTTAATTTTCCACTAATATAGAGTGAGTCTGTGATTCCCTGTATGAAGTTCATATGACCCATAATACTCCTCAAATAAAAGAGAATCTGATAAAATATTTCATAGCATTTGCTTAGTGTAAATTATTACTATTTATAAAATTATATGTTTTTAATGGAATTATTTTAAAAATACTGGTACATAAAACCTTATCATACTAATGAATATATTTAAATCCAAAATTGTTCATACATATTCTGAAACAATAACTGACCATATTGATGATGTATAACTGAAAGAATGCATTTAGATAGAAAAGATCTTGATTTCATAAAGATGAATTTCCATTTTTCAGTATGTAATATCTATAAAAGTTTATTATGTTCTTTTATAAAGCAAAACTAATAACAAAAATGATCAGCATCCTATTTTAGTCATCATCAGCCAACTCTGCTACAGATCTAGGATACTTTTTCCTGAAATGACATTTATTCACCAAATAATGGTCAGATTTAGAGCCAACATTTTGTAGACTGAAAAGTACTATAAATATGAATTATGGCTACCTGTTACCCCCAAAACTTAAAGTAATGTGGGAGTAGTCACACAGAATTGGTCAAATTGAAAATTCATAAGATAAGTTAATGAGGCAGAAATTAGTCTGCCTCTTCTTTCAAAACTCTGAATGGGTTCTAAATCACCATCTCATCCTTACCATGAATGAAACAGTGTGTGAAATTGAACATACAGAACTCAGCTCATTTAGAATTTTACCATCTATCAACTGGCTTCTTAAACTTGAAGTAAAACAGTAAAGAAACCAGTCTATTCTACTAAATATCTTACTAAAAAAGTCTGCTCTACTAGCTATCTTATCACTCAAGAAACAATGATCACCAAGCCAAGCAGCTGACTTTTTAGTAAAAGTTGCAATGATTATCATGACCATATTTTATTTTCACCTTGACTTAAAACTCTTTTATTTGGAGTAGTAACTAAAAATTGGACTATAAAAGCTGTAAAAGGTATTTTTTTTCCACTCTTCCTCTCTGG